TTCATCCGTAGATCCCATTGCACCACCGTGTATGGACAGCAGGAAATAAACAGAACCTGCAGGGTTAACGGCCAGAACTAGGCGCGGGTTAAAGGCCGCTTTAAAGAGGTGAGTTTTCAACACAGAGCTAAGGACAGTAATTCCCTGATTTACGCCTTCTAGTATTACGCACTTCCGCTGTAACGTACTCAACTTATTGATACCCAAAACGGGTTTCAGGTGCCCCGTGGTACCTCGCCGTAAGGGACTCGAGATTTGCGAACTTCACCACTCGGACCTTGACGTTGTTTACGCTGCATGGCGACGTGCAGGAGCCGGATGGCGCCCCGAGCGTTGGTGTCCCTGACTCATACCTATCAACCCCTTATCAATGCCTACCTTATTACAGACCAATTCAGACCTTATTGGTCACCCCGTGCCCTTATAAATCTCAACGTTTATCCTCCAAAGGCCCATCACAAGGGAGAAACACAAACAAATAGACACAAATTTTGTTTTTTTTTGCCCATATTGAAACGGCTGGACGCCATATGGACCTGAAAACTCAATTTCCCTGTACAAGAATACGGGGTGAACCGTGTGGGTTCACAGCTTTGCTGACTACATTCGTCTCTTCCGTGTGTTCACATACTACTCTCTTTATATTCACCCCCCCCCCCCCACATCCTGTATTTATGGCGACTATTGTTATACAAGTGTAAACAGTTTTTTATATGATAAACAGCGAATAATTATCATACATATAGTGTAATAGACTTGGTAATGTATCGTAATATATATAATATAGATGCACAATGTCTTAATGAGCATCCTCTGTTTAGTTACTGTACCACTTTACGATCCACCGTCCCATCTCTTTGCTTAGATTTTTGGAACGTTTAATTGATGTTCTGGTTTTCAAGAACGCATCTTGGGCGTAAACCGGGCTATGTCTGTATATCTAACGATTGTGATTGTCTTATTAATAAACGCAAAGCTTGCAAAGCTTGGGAACTGCACTGCCAAAAGTAAGATCGCCCCAGGAAATGAGTCTTGACCTGGGAGTACTGTACTTAAAAACAATTTAAACTAAACTATTTTTATTTAGCGGGTAAGGCCCACTGAGCTATGTAGCTTTTTTTCAGAAGCGACCTGACCACAAATGACAGCTCAGCGAAGTGGCTTAGCGTGTGGACATTTATAGCAGCCAAATACTCTAAACGCATGTTTCTTAATGTGGAGGGAAAAACCGATGCAAATGTCGTGTTGTACTCACACGGACACTTAACTTTTCTCCTGTGTTACTTTATTTACCTTGCATCCAGTGTGGATGCTCCTCACTTACACGAACATCCTTGTTCCGAACTCCCCATCTTCCCCCTACTCACCTCCGCGCACCTCATGCGCGGTAACCACTCTGTCTCCCCCGCTCTCTCTCTCACTCTATACTCTGCTATCCTGTCCTGCTTCCCTCACACCTCCGCCCTGGTCCCTGCCCCCAGCAGGGGATCAGCCAACACTGCTGGGGAGGACGAGGTGAGGAAGGCGAAGTCCCAGGCGTCTTCTCCCCGACTCTTGTGTTTTTCATCCCTTGAGCACCAACCAATCAACTCTCCGTGCTGCTCCGCACACTCCCTTCTATATCCCTCCTCATTTGGAGTCCTCACTTACCCCCCATTTGGCTGGCGCCTCCACGGCGCCTCTGGCGCGCGCTCTGTCTTATCGCCTCCATCTCTCGCCTCTCCGGCGTCGACCCCGTGCCCCATCGCGCACACCTGCTCGTCCCCAAATGCACCCGCTCAATCAATGCTTCTCTCCCCAATTGCTGCCGCCTCTCCGGCGCCTAATCCATGTCTCTACGCGTGCACCTGCACGACTCTCTCCATCCATGCTTCACCCTCTAATTGCTGCCACGCCACTCCAGTGTCACCTCACCCCACCCTTTTGCTAACCCCGCGTGTTACGCCACTACACAAAGGTTAACGGGAGATCTCAAGTGATCGGAACAGCCGCACGGCATGAGTGCAGTGGTGGAGTGAGCCCTCACCTGGATGAACAAAACAACTTCGTTATTAATTCTTGGCTTGGATCGCGTGGGGTAAAAAAATGTGTGCCGTGCACCGCCAACCCGATCCGACATCATGACCAATTGATGCGATTGTCACGCGCGACCAAACGTGCCGATTTGCTACTCTGCTTCAGCACCGCCAGAGAGCGATCCACGCGTATTCAACTGCGCACGTTTGACAATTGAAGTACGGACTTTTTTGCTGGTAGTTGCAACCAGCAGTATCGGGCATTTGCCAGAATTGTGAAAATGTCCCGCTGCAGTCTTGCGCCTTCAAATGTGCGGCGTGAAGTTGTCAAAGCACGTCCACGAGGGAGCAGGAGGTGACAGGAAGTGATACCTAGAGTTTAATGTATTTGAATTATCATGTCATGTATCGACCAATTGAATGAGTTAACTTATCATTGACAGGGCATTCTTTAGCGCTGAATCACCGCCGCGTGTTTGCATGTGCTTTGTGGGCAGCAGAAGGGGCGCGAATTTAGAACATCGCTAGAAACCCACGGTGTTTACCGCCGTATTAACCGGCACATGTGCTTGTGTTTACAGTGCTTGTGCGTGCTTCATGCATGTAATGGATGCGTACTAATCTCTGGCACGTGACGATTCTTCTTCCTTCTTGCGAAGAAATGGTGTCGTGTTTCTGGGGCACGATCCAATTCATGATTTGTTTTTTGTCTCGATAGCCAGTTCGCATTGTCTGTGCTCTACATTCTGTCTAGTTAGTGTTGTCTTCCCTGTGTGTTCAGTCTTGTTGGTGTTGTCTGTCCTGTGTGTTCAGTCTTGTTGGTGTTATCTGTCCTGTGTGTTCTGTCTTGTTGGTGTTGTCTGTCCTGTGTGTTCTGTCTTGTTGGTGATGTCTGTCCTGTGTGTTCTGTCTTGTTGGTGTTGTCTCTCCTGTGTGTTCTGACTTGTTGGTGTTGTCTGTCCTGTGTGTTCTGTCTTGTTGGTATTGTCTGTCCTGTGTGTTCTGTCTTGTTGGTGATATCTGTCCTGTGTGCTCTGTCTTGTTGGTGCTATCTGTCCTGTGTGTTCTGTCTTGTTGGTGATATCTGTCCTGTGTGTTCTGTCTTGTTGGTGATATCTGTCCTGTGTGTTCTGTCTTGTTGGTGTTGTCTGTCCTGTGTGTTCTGTCTTGTTGGTGTTGTCTGTCCTCTGTGTTCTGTCTTGTTGGTGTTGTCTGTCCTGTGTGTTCTGTCTTGTTGGTGTTGTCTGTCCTGTGTGTTCTGTCTTGTTGGTGTTGTCTGTCCTGTGTGTTCTGTATTGTTGGTGTTGTCTGTCCTGTGTGTTCTGTATTGTTGGTGATGTCTGTCCTGTGTGTTCTGTCTTGTTGGTGATGTCTGTCATGTGTGTTCTGTCTTGTTGGTGTTCTCTGTCCTGTGTGTTCTGTCTTGTTGGTGATATCTGTCCTGTGTGTTCTGTCTTGTTGGTGTTGTCTGTCCTGTGTGTTCTGTCTTGTTGGTGTTGTCTGTCCTGTGTGTTCTGTCTTGTTGGTGTTCTCTGTCCTGTGTGTTCTGTCTTGTTGGTGATATCTGTCCTGCGTGTTCTGTCTTGTTGGTGTTGTCTGTCCTGTGTGTTCTGTCTTGTTGGTGTTGTCTGTCCTGTGTGTTCTGTCTTGTTGGTGATATCTGTCCTGTGTGTTCTGTCTTGTTGGTGTTGTCTGTCCTGCGTGTTCTGTCTTGTTGGTGTTGTCTGTCCTGAGTGTTCTGTCTTGTTGGTGTTGTCTGTCCTGTGTGTTCTGTCTTGTTGGTGTTGTCTGTCCTGTGTGTTCTGTCTTGTTGGTGTTGTCTGTCCTGTGTGTTCTATATTGTTGGTGGTCTCTGTCCTGTGTGTTCTGTCTTGTTGGTGATATCTGTCCCGTGTGTTCTGCCTTGTTGGTGTTGTCTCTTCTGTATATTCTGTCTTGTTGGTGTTGTCTATTATGGTCGTTCTATCTTGTTGGTCTTGTCTCACCTGTGTGTTCTGTCTTCTTGGTGGTCTCTGTCCTGTGTGTTCTGTCTTGTTGGTATTTTCTGTCCTGTGTGTTCTGTCTAGTTGGTATTTTCTGTCTTGTGTGTTCTGTCTCGTTGGTGCCACGAGCATAAGCGTGTATTATCTTATAATTAACGTGCGGGGAGTGTGGTGGTCTTGTAATTAGCACACTGCCCTGCAATTCCGACTAGCTTTCCGAGTTCTGTTCTTAGCCATAGCTAAAATCGGTTGCTACTTCTATTGACCAGTGCGATGAAGTACGATGAAACAACACCAGCTGTGGATTGACAAGGGACTGTAAAGTATAATTAATACTGGATAGAAAAATTGCACAAATCACAAGCCATCAATTCTCACGTCAGCTATTCAATGCCTGTAAAACCGGAGCACGGTTGGAGCGGTGACGCAGTGGTTACTGCACTGCGCTATGCCCCTGGCGACCCGAGTTTGATTCCTAGCCCACTGCTTAAATCAACGGTCGAGTGCCTGCAACCACCGCCCCCCCCTCCCCTTCACCAACTTGCATTGGCAAGCGGAGGTGAAGTATGGTGAAACGGCCCCCACGAATGACACGACCGTGGGGGAGGCCGTCTTCCATGAGCCATTTGGCAAAATCGCTGTAAAGAAGAAGGGCATCATAATTAATTTGAACTGAATCATTGGAATGCCGAATTAAAATTCCGAAGTTAACTAATGCCTGGAGCATGCTGATAACACACATTCACGGCACATTAGTGAGCTATGCAGTTACACAGCGCACACTTAAATTGTAGTTGCACTGTTTTGGCAGACTTGGTGGAGTAAACACTCTTGGCAGGACACGTGCTGGTGTGTCATGTGGTGTAGATTGGAGGAGGCCTATTGAATTAAATTGTGGCATCATAAGGCAAAATTGGTTAACATTAGAACTGTTTGTGTGTGTGCGTGCGTGCGTGTGCGTGTGTGCGAATGTGCACGTGTGTTTTGGTTTGGGCATTCTCAGGTACTGCTGGCCAGCAGCTTTGTTCCTGGTTACGCGGGGCTCAGCGCCGTGGAGTACCTGGGAGAGGTGAGGCTCGCTCACCAATTCACCAAGTCACCCACTCATCCGTCTCATCCACAGTGTGTGCAGCCACCACACTTGCCGGTTACAACATGCTCACTCACCAATAAACTCGCTCTCCAACTCTGTAACTCTCCCACTAACTCATTCACTCATCCACTCACCACACTGCAGGTCACCTCACTTCTCTTTCCGCTTATTCTCTCGCACTGCTCCAGGTTGGAATTCCCCTCCCATTATCGCCTCTGTTATCCCGCCCAAGCTCTTAACCTTGCTCAATTCAAGAAACACGTTAACTCTTGTCGTTTACAAACTTTGATAGTGCTGATGGTTACTGGCCAGCTTGAGGTGTTGTGCCTTTTGGGCCTGTGCTCGGCAACTGTAAAATCAAAACAGGTGACAGTGTTACAGCATGTGGCTCACAGTCACAATTCTAAGGACTTCCACGCCTGGTCTCTCAGCCCATCATCATCATCTCTCATCCCTCAGGGGTCAATAAAATGAGAACCACTTTTAATCTAAGTCAACAATTTTCCTCTTGGGATGACTTTAACTAAAATCGGAATGTGGAATTTACATCACTCATTCAGGGCAACGCTTTTTTGGGCGGATCACACAAATGTTGCGAATCTCCCTTGCCGCGTGCGTTAAGAAGCCGTACCCTGGCTCTCCAGGAGAAGGCGGTACAGCAAATGTGGACTCCACCTCTTCCGGGATAGAGCATTGCCTCCTCGCACGCATGGGTTTTTCTCCCAACATGTATAATAAACGCGCATTAATCGGCTATAAACATCTTACAATAAAAACCCAAGGCAGGACCCCTCCTTATAAAAAAAAGTCCCGTGACTCAGTGTGGCTTTCCTGGGTAAATAAGTAGTCATTTTATTTAAACAAAAAAATTCAAATAGGAAGCCACTCTTTAATTCCACTATTGCATAACCAATCAGCTCGTGCCGAGGGGAATGGCCATTCTCCAATGCGGGGAAATCAGCCAGAGTATGCAATTCAATCATAGTTATAAGGTAAATGTTTTTTCAAAGGCCAAAACATCATAGTCTTAAGTATCTCTCTGCTCCCATTTATTGAGATCATCTCTGTTAGGGGCCACCAAACCATTGGTGGAAATTCCACATTACTATGGCGGGGGAGAGTCAGTCGATATGTAATTTGACCAATGCAGGCTTCCACAAAAGTGGTGCTCATTATTCACCCTGGTGAGGTCCCATTGAGCTCAGCAGCTCTTGATTCAAGGACAACCACAGCCCAACACCATCACCGACAATTACAGTCCATACCAGAGGCTTACATAAAGTGCCATAGAGTTACGTTTTTTGTTTTTAGTTTATTGTCCTTCCCCTGCACGTGATATGAAGAAGCTTGTTTCGATTAAATTAAAGCAGATCATGAAAGGAGAGCATTTACTTGCTGACACATTCCAGTTAATAACATTTAAGGCTCAACTCACTGATTTGGAGATTTAGGCATCCAAGGCGGTTCTGTATAAGAGCACATATTTAGTTTGTTGTCCTTCACCCCCACCTCCGATTATCACAGTTGGCTACGTACGGTGGCGAAAGAAGTTCAACATACATACACACAAGTAGTGACCCGTGTTGTTGCAAAGAGAGCCATAGAGACTCGTACAGTCAAAACTTACTTCAGCTCGCAAAGTCTATTGAGCTCTGCACTTCTGATACAAGGGTGCCACGGTGGTGAGATTTTATCTCCCTCGCCTGTCATTTAGGAGGTTGTGGGTTTCATCCCGACCTTGACACCTGTATATTTGGAGTTTGTATGTTCACCCCATGGTCGTGCGGATTTTTCTTCGTGTCTTCCCGTTTTCCCTCCACATTTAGAGACGTGCGTTTAGAATGTTTGGCTCCTATAAATGTCCACGTGATAAGCCACTTTTGTTGAGCTGTCATTAGTGGCCAGGTTGCTTCTGAAAAAGAGCTCTATAGCTCAGTGGGCCTTACCTTGTAAAATACAAATAGTTGAGTCCAGATTCGAGGGAATGATGCAAAAAAATATTATGGTGATACGAATGTTTATTATTTAACTTGAGTCTCAAAACTACATTTCAGGAGTGTGCTGCATTCGGGTTTGTCCATTGTGCGGTAATTTGGCCTGGTGGGCAGGGCAACTTGATTCACTACCCGAAGGATGCCAGTATACAAATCCCTGTTCCGCGGTTTATCGTGGACAGCCAACCATCACTATAGGATTCGTAAAATGAGTACCACTAATTGTGACAAGTCGGAAACAACTTGCCAGCATTGGTTTTATGCAGGTCTCGCTCTGCTGGTAAGGTACTGAATGTCGAAACCGCACCAGAGTTTGTCTTGTTTTGAGCTCATGCTGCTGGGAAAAATCAATCACACCCAGAAGTCTGTGCGGCCGAAGAGCTGTTTTGCATGCGAACGAGGCATATTGCCTGCTTATTTTACAAGGTAAAACTGGCCCCCACCATGGTGATGTGGAATATCTACCGATGTCTCAGGCTCGCCAGTGCCGGTAAGGGCTGTCCCATTGCTTAAACGAGCGGAGAGACGCCGAATTAGGGACTGGACCGATAATTCACCCCTGTGAATAATTATACCGCGGGTGGAAATTCCCATCGCATTATTCCCAAAGGGCAGCACGATGTGCACCGGTGACACGCCTGCCAGCGTAATTACACCCCGAGTGTCGCAATCGTCATCCACAATTGTGTTGCGCACACACTCCCACACGCAAGTCACGTGCAAGAACAGCGTGTGTACGAGTGCACCTGTGTGTGTGCGCGTGTTTAGTGGTTAGCGCTACACTGTGCTACGAACCCGGCTACCGGAGTTCGATTCCCGCTTACAGCCAACACCAGTGACCATTATTTTAACCGGTCGTGGGGCCTCCCCTAGGTCGACTCAGCCTTAAAAACGAGTACCTCTTGTGGTGTGTGAACATCAGCACTGGGGAGCCAAAGGCGGCCGGGCGTTGTGCTGGCCACCCACTCCCTTGTGTGCCGTCTCCCCCTTCATAGGTGCTTGCTGACAGCACTTGCCCTGACAATCTGTTAATGGCTTTGTCTTTGTTTTGGAGATCTATTCAAAGCCGCAACCAACATCAGTGGTAAGCAATATCTGAACTTGTCCCCCCGGTCCTCACCTGGATGAACGCAGCCTCATTTGAGTACCTGGTGCAGTGTGTAAACAGCACTGGGGATTCGAAGGTCGTGGTTATGAGGATGATGATGGATACGTTAGGAACGGACCTGAAAATCTCCTGGATTCCTTAGCCGGAGCCACGCAGCGGTGGGAGGGATGCCCTCTTGACCTCGGTCTCTGTGCGATGGGCGCTCGCTAACTGCTCGCATCACCCACCCCCACAGAAATGGTATGACGGCGGCTTCACGGACAGCCTGCCACACCTGCCGGGTGGGCGCACCATCACCGTGTCGCCCTTCAGCGGCAAGCATGACGTGTGCCCGCACGACCCCAGCACCATCGAGCTCTACGCCACTTTCGCCAAGCAGGACATTATGGTGGGCAGTCGCACCCTGCCACGGTGCCCGCACGTCATGCCGTAGGGCATACACTCTCTGCCACGCTGCCCACGTGCCCAACATGGTGCCCGCGCGCCCTGCCATGGTGCCTACACGTCCTGCCACTGTGCCCACGCGCCCTGCCCCTGTGCCCACGCGTCCTGCCACTGTGCCCACGCGGCCACCCACGGGGCACACACACCCTGCCACGGTGCCCACGCGCCCTGCCAAAGGTCTACTCTAACTCGCAAAAGCTAGTTCCCTATTGCCACCATCACCTCCACTTCACAATCCTCCCCTCTCTTAACTCACCTTACCTAGCCTCACTCCCTTCCCTGCCTCCCTCCCTACCTCCCTCCCTTGTTTTGTGTTCACAGTAATGCATGCACTTGTTTCATTTTTGAAGGAACACACGATTTCGAGACGCCAGGGACACTATTGAAGTATCCCCGAGTAACATCCCCCAATACACCCCACGATGCTCCACTGGAAGTCCACTTTGCATGAGAGTTTCATCGCGTTCCTTGCCTCTTTCTTAGCCTCCCATCCCCCTCCCTCCCTCCCCTCCCTCCCTCCCTCCCCTCTGCTCCCCTCCCGTCCCTCCCCTCTCACCTCCATCACCTCTCTGCCCCACCTCCTGCACCCCTCTCCCTCCCGCCCCAGGTGAATCTGCGGAACCTTCGGAGGGCGAACCTGGCCCTGTTCCCGCCGGCGCGCGAGGAGCTACGCGCGTTCTACGAGCAGGGCGCGAGCGACGCTACGCGCTTCCTTCAGCGCGAGGGCTGGCATGAGGAGGAAGGCAACGACGATGGCGGGGGGGGCGGGGGCCTCAGCCAGACCACCAAGCCCGACCTTTGAACCCGATGAAGGGCCCCCACTCGTCGCCCACCTCCACCCCGCGATGGGCTGTTGGCAGGCTGAAGGTTACCTGAGAAGATGTAATCCAGAATGGGTTGCCTGTGTGGGTGTGTGTGCTTATGTGTGTATAGTCTGAACCGGTCCTGGGTCTCCCCTAGGTCGACTCATCCTCAAATGGAGTACATCGTGCTGTGTGTAAAGATCACCACTAAGGAGACAAAGGTGGTTGGGCGTGGTGCCAGCCACTGCTCCATTGAGTGCCATGCCGCCCTTCATAGGTGCTCGTTAACAGCGGTTGCCCCAGAAGTCTGCTACACAGGGGATCTTTGTCTTTATTATGGAGTGATAGGGCAGTGGTTAGTGCACTGAGCTATGAATCTAGCGACCAGAGTTCGATTCTCACTCGCGATCAATAACAGTTTCAAATGTTTATACTGGGCCTCCCCTAGATGTGCCCAGCCTCAAATGAGTAACTAACTGGTACAATGAATAAACATCGCCACTGGGGAGACAAAGGTGGATGGGTGTGGTGTTGGCCACCTACTCCCTCGTGTACCATGCCGGCCTTCATAGGTGCTTGTTCACAGTGCATGCCCCAATGCCCAGTTAAAGGCTATACCGGGATCTTTATATATGTGTATGTCTGCATCATTGTCTTCATGGTTTCCCACTCAAAACGACGGTCACCTCTTTACAACCATGAGATAGTGAACATTCCAGATTCTCATGGCAGGGGTGAGTGAAAAAAAAAAGGAATAACCACTGGACATATGACAAAATAGTACTCATTTCAATCACCCTGGAAGTATGATGGGCCGATTCAAACGCGATGGGTATTTGAACGCCCAAACTTTCCAGCTGTGAGTTGGATCATCTTTAATCGGAGTGAATCCTATACGCTGTGATCTAATTACGTCACAAGTGCATTAGCGAAGGGATGCTATTATTGATCGGTCTGCCATGTAGTAGGGCATTGCAAGGTATTGCGAGATCTTCTCATGATGCTGTGTAGCAGGAGGATCCCCCAGTAACCACGCCAGCCTCACCTGACCAACATTAAACCAGGGAGCCACAAGTGTTATTTTGATGGTGTCAGATCGTGGATCGGTGTCTTGCGCAAAACAAAAGCAGCGTTTTATTCACTTTGTTTGGCACTCCATATTTCATCTCGACATGGATTGATCACCCATGTAAATCAATGTCTTAAGTTTCAAAGCCAGCTGCTGGCTTGAGAGCATGGCAAGTTTGGAATGCCACTCGTGCCCTTGGAAAATGCTCGCAGGAAACTCGAGTACACAGACTCACGAGACTCATTTAGAGAGAGACTCATAGAGAGAGAGGCCCATAGGCTCGCGGTGAATATGAGTTTATGATGTGTGCCCACTGTTGCTGATGTATTGCCGATGTGTTATTGGTGGGCCATATGATGTAAGGCAGCCCTCCCTCCCTCCCTCTGCTTATGTGAGAGCTTCCTGGTGGCTGGGTGATGGTGGTGGTCTCCTCTGATGGGGAGGGGCTTATTCGGAACGATGTTCGCTTCCTCAGTCATCCCACCACTGGACTTTGATGCTGCCCAGGCATACGGCTGAGTCTTTTTGCGTTGTTGCAGATAGCTTTTTCGATTTTTTTGGACCGTTTACAATTTACATAGGGGTTAGAATTTACGTGGTTTGTTTCAGATTTTACACAAATGTTTTGGTTCTAATTTATTGTGAGTGCTTAGTGTGTTTAATATTCATTGTCTAAAACAAATACAATGACTCTTCCATGGTGGTTAGCTGACACGGAATTGCAGCTTTTGGCTGTAGAGAGACGGGTTGTGTTGAAGGGGGGGGGACCCCCTATCGAAGCAGTTATGTGGTGCCGACCTCTGCAAGGGTTTTTCCGCTTCGCATAGGCGCGAGTGTCTGCTGCCTGTAAGCGGTAAATTATAAGCGGGCATTCGCGCACCCAGTGCCTTAACTTTAACGACATGATTTATACCAAAATTGTGCATTAAGATGCATATATATCTTTTAAAAATTTTCATATTAACTATGTGAAGAGCTAAAAAAAACATACGTTCTGAGCTTTCAAATCAAAGGTCAAAGTGAGATTTTTCGTGAATCAAACAAGCAATCGGGGGCCTGGTGCTCATCTCTATTTTGACAGTTTCTAAGCCAGTGGTGTAAATTCCTCCGAGAGCAGGATGCTGATGATGTCGGCGCTGCTGTGTGGGTCTCGGTCGTGGGCACTTTTGAAGGAGGCCTCGAACACACTACACGTTTTACACGTGCGATGATGCCAGGGACAGAATCGTCCATTAATGCTATATTGTCAGAACATTTAATTGTTTGTAACTACACTCTGCTCTGTATATAACACGCTGGTTATTACGCTCCTGAAGAACACCGCGTTATGGGAAAAAAATGCGTTATAGCATATAATATAGGGTAAAAGCACAGTCTGCAATAACACATGAGATGCATACGCAGGCTGAGCAAAGACCAAGGTGCGTGGGTAGCATCTCGAAGCATCCAGCAGCATAACGCTACTACGCCAAGGCAGCCGTACAACCGCTTATTCCTACTCGCACGACACAGTTCTGATCGCTCGATCGTGATATATTCGCGTTATGAAAAAAAATGCATTGTAGGAGAACGGACTGTACGAGCAAGCCACATGTCCTTTGGACGTGATCGTCTGTCCGGCTCTCCCAGCCAGCAAAATTTATATTCTTATATTTATATAAGAGCCCTGTCTCCCTGCACTTGTAGCTTACCTTCTCTGTACTGCATATCGCACTTTATATCGATTTTCACTTTGTCCTCCGTGTTACGGCCGGCTCAGGTGCGAGAACCCTGAGGTTTGTGTGGGTCCCCCCCTAAAAACCCTCACCTGCCGTATTGCGGAACAATTTTATTCAATCGGGGTGCGGGTGGGGCGTCTTTAATCAGATCAGAATCAGATCAGAAAGGGTTTTATTCGCCATGAAAGTTCACACCGACACGGAATTCATTTTGGCAGGATGGTGCATACATTCAACATATAGGAATCTAAAATCTTAAATAAGTTTTAAATAAGTCTTACTATAATAAGCGTTAAAATTCTAACTAACACCAAGGGGTGAAGTATATAAAATTGAATAAATATCGAATATAAAATAGCTTTAAGATATAATTTAAAAATAAAACATACAAATAGGTTAACATAGTTCATATTGGCAAGGTGTCATTATGTAGATAAAATGTTAAAATCAGTGTAGGCCCTTGGCCTTGTTTAACAGGCCAGCAGCAGATGGGAAGAAACTTTTTATGGCGTGAGGTTTTGGTCCTGATGGACCGAAGCCTTCTGCCGGAGGAGAGTAGCTGAAACAGAGAGTGTCCAGGGTGGGAGGAATCGGCCACAATCTTCCTCGCTCGCCTCATGGTCCCTGTCGTGTGCAGGTCCTCGAGGGTTGGTAGATTGCAGGCAATTACCTTCTCAGCAGTGTGGATGATACGCTGCAGTCTGCTCTTGTCCTTGGCAGTGGCAGCAGCGTACCAGACGGTTATGGAGGAGGTGAGGATGGATTCAATGATTGCTGTATAGAATTGCACCATCATTGCCTTTGGCAGGTTGAATTTCTTCAGCTACCATAGAAAGTACATCCTCTGTTGAGTTCTCTTGGTGAGGGAGCTGATGTTCAGTTCCCACTTGAGGTCCCGGGAGAGAATAGTGCCCAGGAAGCGGAAGGACTCTACAATTTTGACTGGGGAGTCTAACAGGGTGATGGGGGGTGAGTGGGGCTGTATTCTTCCTGAAGTCCACAACCATCTCAACTGTCTTTAGATCATTTAGCTCTAAGTTGTTCTGGCTACACCAGGTCACCAGGTTGTCAGCTTCCCACCTATAGTCAGACTCATCCCCACCAGAGATCAGCCCAATGAGGGTGGTGTCGTCTGCAAACTTCAAGAGATTGACGGACAGATGATTGGAGGTGCAGCTGTTGGTATACAGGGAGAAGAGCAGTGGGGAAAGGACGCAGCCCTGAGGAGTTCCGGTGCTGATGGACCTGGAGTCAGAGATTTGTGTTCCCAGCTTAACGCACTGCTTCCTGTCAGACAGGAAGTCTGTGATCCACCTGCTGGTGGAGTAGGGCACGTTCAGCTGGAAGAGCTTGTCCTGAAGCAGGGCAGGAATGATGGTGTTGAAGGCAGAGCTGAAGTCCACAAACAGGATCCTAGCGTAGGATGCTGGGGTGTCCAAATGCTGTAGGGTGAAGTGGAGGGCCATGTTAACTGCATCATCCACAGACCTGTTGGCTCTGTAGGCAAACTGAAGGGGCTCCAGGAGAGTGTCTGTGATGGCTTTGAGGTGTGCCAGGACCAGGCGCTCAAAATACTTCATTACCACAGATGTAAGGGCGACCGGTCTGTAATCATTTAGTCCTGTTGGCCTTAGCTTTTTGGGCACAGGGATGATGGTGGAGGACTTGAGACAGGCTGGTACATGGCATGTCTCCAGGGAGGTGTTAAAGATGTTGGTGAACACTGGAGACAGCTGGTCAGCGCAGTGCCTGAGGGTGGCTGGAGAGACAGAGTCCGGCCCGGCTGCTTTGCGTGGATTCTGCCTCTTGAAAAGTCTATTAACTTCTCCCTCCTGAAAGGAGAGAGTCGTCTCTGTAGTATGGGTGGGGGATGGGGCCTCTTGGGTGGGAAGGGGTAGTTCAGGACAGTCCAATTGTCTTTCAAATCTGCAGTAGAACTCGTTCAGGTCGTTGGCTAGGCGGGAGTCGTTAGTGGTGTGGGGGGCTCTGGGTTTGTAGTTGGTGATCTGCCTGAGCCCTCTCCAGACAGAAGCAGAGTCGTTAGTGGAGAACTGGTGTTTTAGTCTCTCTGAGTACAGTCGTTTAGCCTCTCTCACCACTTTGCTAAACCTGTTCTTCGACTCCTTGAATCTGTCTCTATCCCCACTCCTAAACGCTTCCTCCTCCAACCTCAACCTTCTGAGCTTTGTTGAGAACCAGGGCTTGTTGTTGTTAAAGTTCACCCTGGTACGTGTTGGGATACAGCAGTCCTCACAGAAGCTGATGTAGGATGTCACAGCCTCTGTGAGTTCATCCAGACTATTGGTAGCAGTCGTGAACATATCCCAGTCAGTACAGTCTAAGCACGCTCGCAAATCTTCCACAGCCTCACTGGTCCACTGTTTAGATGTCTTCACAGCAGGTTTACAGAGTTTTAGTTTCTGCCTGTATGCAGGAATCAGGTGGACCATGGCATGGTCAGAGTGTCCTAGTGCTGCTCGGGGGACGGCGTGGTAGGCTCTACTGACTGTAGTGTAGCAGTGATCCAGAGTGTTCCCTTCTCTGGTTGGGCATTTAATGAATTGTATGTATTTAGGGAGTTCGTGGCTGAGATTACCTTTGTTAAAGTCGCCAAGTACGATAACCAACGAATCTGGATTTGCTCGCTCCACACTCAGAATCTGATCGGCGAGCATGCGTTGGGCCTCTTTAACCTGAGGACATGGCGGCAAATAAACTCCGACCAAAATGAGCGACGCGAACTCGCGAGGCGAGTAAAACGGTTTACAGGTTATAAAAATTGATTCAAAGAGTGGAGAACAATGTTGCAGAATCACTGTGACATCTACACACCAGCCACTGTTAATGTAAAAACAAATACCACCGCCTTTCGTCTTGCCGGAGAGTGCTATGTCACGATCCGATCTTACAAGATGAAATCCTGCTATTTGTAGCGAAGTGTCCGGAATCAAATCACACAGCCATGTCTGTGGTTGGAGTGCGACACTGAGAGACACGTTTTGAGATTAGAGGCAGGTAAGGGGTCTAAGTTCAGCTTTAATGAAGTAATGAGACCAAGGGGATAGTCGGACGGGGAGTCGGCACCACCCCTAGCTCCTCTGTGGAATTAACTCACCCGATTCAAGCATACATCCACACATCCCCTCGAATCCCTTTTCAGGAGTAAGTAATCCAGTTTCCGCAATGCAAATGTACACCCAGTAATCCCCTCTTACACTCAACTGCCCCTTTGTTCCGGTGCACACCTCATCCCGGTCACAAGAGAGCGCACGGTTGAGTGACGACACCACACTATCAGGCACAGAGCAGATGCACACGTCAGTCTCAAGAGTACTCAGACGTCACTCTCCAGACTCGGAGACAGTCCACTCACGCCAGCATCGCCACGCTCCGGACTCGATGCACACACTCCAGGCTCGGTGTACAACAGCACAGACTCGGAGGTCACAATTGAGACACGGCACACATTTCAGAAACGGTGCTCATCCCAGTGTTGGCTTGAGCACAACCCTCGGTGCAGTCGCGATGCTCCGCCGCCCAGTCTCGAGTCGTGACTCTGCTCAGCCAGCTCTCCTTCAAGTAGCAAGGCTCTCCATCGGCAGGGCACTCGGGATCTCTTGTCACGGTGATTGGAGCCAGAACCAGTCCTACAGACCTCCTGTATACCGAAGGTCTGGTGGACTGGACCTCTGGGGGTTACCTGAGGTGAATTATAAATGTGTGACATCATACTTGAGTCATTGGTGAATAATTACGAATGAATCTGCCAATGTAAAATAACTACGATGAAACTTAAATCCGTATGGTAACCTATTACGATATAAAATACTTTTCTAAACTCATTGATCGTAAACAATGTGGTTTCCAAGTGTAACCAGTGAGCGCGAACAAATTACGTCATGCATGCAGAGCGTCCGTTGAATTGTTTTATTCGCTTGCAGTTACTAGCGAGTTAGGGTAACCTCACACAATGGACAATTGATTAAAATATTGATGTTCATTATTCATACATTTATTGCTGAGAACCATATTGGGTCAGGAAAGCAGGTTACTACTCGGTTGAAACAATTTAGTCAGGGGGGTAAAGCAGTAGCCAAAAAAGGTTGAGAACCACTGCAACAGAAGGCCAAGCAGTGCCGGTCTAGCTCCTGACAGAGGAATGGAAGCCTCTCCCCCGCAGTGAGCGTTCGGACATTCCACGTGGCCAACTTCGGGGTTAAGCTGCTGCTATTTATGGAAGAACCCCGAGGTGAGAAGTCGAGTCTGGCTCTGCTAAATTGGGTTTTGGCCAGAAGGCGTAATTGATTTTCCTGTTCTTGCCGGGGCTTCCAGCACAGGTTTTGTTGGGTGTTTCCATCGTGGTTATTTGGGACGAATTAGTGCTAAGTCGAGGGTTTACCAGCCCCTCAGACAAACGTATCTTGCAACATACTACAACAACAGCTGCTATTCGCCAATAAGTGGCGGAGACGTCACCACGGTGCTTGAGCCAGGCCAGGTGCATGCTGAGGCCACATGAAGTGTCGAAGGCTCGCTGACAGGAAGTCACGGGACAGACCCAAGTGCCATGAGTTGACTGAAAGATGACTGTTAGATGCACCACCTGTGCCCCCTACTGTGCGTGCTTGCTGCATTTTAGCCGCCCAGCGCTCCACTTGTTTTTAGTGGCGTTCCTCTGCCCTCCGCTGCTGTTGGAGGGTGATCCCAGTAGCGTCGTTCACGAGCCTCCATATAGGCCAATCTTGACGCCGCTGGTAGCAGTCTTCGGCAAGTCCACTCAGCTTTACATCGTCCTGAACTACATCAGACCATCTCTTCTCCGGCCCGTTTAGCCCCCTCTATCTAGCCAAACAGAAGCTGCTTGGGCGTGCAGTGCCTGGGCATGCACGACCAAGTCAATGCAACATTGCATTGACTACGGAGTCAATGGGGGAGGGGGGCATTG